CTATGTCCAAAAAACAGCCGTTGAAACCCTGTGGAGTGCAATTCTCCTCTGACACACATGGGGTCACCATGAGTCGGAATCGACTCAATAGTACCCTTCATTCCTTCTGCTGAATGCCTGGAAGGGTCCAGTTGCCGCTGTCATGCACAAAGTCCATCCTAGAGTTGATCAGTTTTACAAACTGCCTCCCTAACTGGGTTGCAAGCCCATATGTGACATCTGTAGCTTCATATCCATAGGACCTGCAGGGTGGATCCCTCTACTCTGAACATTCCTGTTGATTATAATAGAAAGAGGGGAGGTCTGTGCTGTTTAGTTTTGAACTAGTAAATCATCTTGCCTGGAGTAAACCTGCCACCCTGGGGACACTTTGAAAACTCGAGGGGCTTAGCTTTCTGTATACGTGCAGGTGCGTGCACTCTACATCTTGAATCTGCCCTGGTTCACATTTCTGTTCCCAGATCTAAAAGCAGGCTCCTGCTCTCTGCCTTTCACTTGTCTAAGTGACTTTGGGCATGCTTCCCCTCTGAGATGCGTGCAGCCTTTCCTCAGAGTTGGATCCCCATGGTAGCTTTCAGATTTTCTTGCTCTTTCATCTCTCACAGCCCTCATGGCTTCCCATCTCACAAAGAATCAAAGCTGAGGGCCTGGTGGTAGCCCACAAGACCCATTAACCCTGCAGCCTCATCTCCTCCCCGACTCCCCTCGCTCACTTCACTCCTGCACATTTGCCTCCTTGCTGTTCCCAAACATGTCAAGCAACACTCCTGCCTCAGGGCCTTTGCGCTTGCTCTTCCCTGCCTGGACTCTTACACAGATACCCACAGGGTCACTCCTTTACTTCCTTCAGTTTTCTGCTCAAAAATCATCAGTAAGGCCTTCCCTGATCATCCAGTTTAACACTATGGGCCCCCTGTCCAACCTGAACAGTGGTGTCACTAGGGGATGCAGGGGCATGGCATGGTCTGCATTAGGTGACACTGTCAGAGGAAGTAACACCAAAATCAGTGTCTGTAAGATTTTTGTACAGTGTTTCAGTGAAAATTAATTAATTGTTATAAAAAATATCCTAGTAGTTATTTACAGGTACAAAGATAATCTTCATAAGTGCAGCTTATATGTATCAATATACCTACAGGATAAAACTATGCCAATTTACTTGTTGAACCCTCCAATGTGCTGTCATCAGAGCTGTCGTATTGCCCAATTACACACGGTCACGGTTGCCTCTGCTGGGCTGCAAGCATGCACTGTTGTTTTCATTGTTGCTGGTGTTTTCATAGTCACTGATTTTGGCAAAGTTTCTGGCATTTTAGGTACAATATTGTGTTAATTAGTATTTGGGAACCTATAACAATAATTTTGGGAATGAAGTAGTAATTAAAGGAAACACAGAAAAATCAAAAAAGGTTTCTGCTCAGTTAGTAACAGTGTTGTCGCTAATAACATTGTCATTCAATGCAGAAAGATTTTACAAAAGAATTTTGTTAGTGTTTACATAATCTAAGAGATGTTACATTTAAGCAGTTTACAATTATATCACATTTTACTCCATGGTTAAAATTGATATTATTGAGGAGTCTTTATGGTCTGGTATAAGAGGAGAACTAGGGAGGATGACACCATGAGTAACTGCACAGGGTGACACCAACCCTAATGATGCCACTGCACCTTAATGTCCTTGCCTGCCTTATTTTTCATCGCAGCACCTTTCACTGTCCACTCTGCTATACAATTTGCTAGTTAAGTTATTGCTGTCCTCCCCTCACTCAGAGGAGGGCGGGAACTTTATAATTTACTGCTGTGTCCTCAGTGTCGGGCACCTCAACTGGCCCGTGAATGACTGGAGCTGTCTCTTGTGGAACCATCTTCCCATCTGCTCCTGTTGGTAAGGGTACAGGATGGCAGCCACCTTGTCGACTGACTGCTCGTGGCTGTCCTGAGCCATAAGCTTTGTCACTTGGCTTTTGCCCTTTTCCTCCCTGGTTGGTTTAGGTGGTCCTTTATGACACACGTCAGGCCAATCAAACGTCTCTTCCTATTTCAAAATATTTTCTGTTGCTGTGATGTGCTGGTCTTACTGTGTGCAGCTCATCTGAAACGTTTTTTTCAGACAATCTTTTTGAGGCTTAGCTTTGTGTTAAGTTTAAGGGAAGGAAACTGGCGAGAGTGACACTTTTTTTTTTTTTAAAGCAGCATCTTCGACAGATGGAAATCCCAGTAAGTCTTTGTCCTAGTCATGATAGGGTAGCTGCTAAAACAAACAGCCCCGATATCTCAATGCTTTCACATGATAAAGGTTTCTGGCTCATGGCTTACGTAGGTTGGCAGGAACTAGGAGTGGATGGAGAAGGAGGATGTAGAGGATTGCTGTGTAGGTTTTTATGAACCAGGCCCATGATTGGGTGCAGCACTCCTGCTCACATCCCGCTGGCCAGAACTCAGTACTGTGGCCCCACTTACCCACAAGGGAGGCCGGGAGATGTCGTCTACCCATGTGCCCAGGAAGAAGATGTGGAGATTGGTGAACACTGAGCCTTCGTCTTGCTTCCCCAAACATTTTTACAGATCGCTCACCCTACGTGGGCTGTTCTCAAACTCATTTGAAGGTTTGCTAATATGTTGACCTCCTACACATCTGTCTTACTGTAGTGACTTGCATGTTGCTGTGAGGCTGGAAGCTATGTCATCGATATTTTGTACACCAGCAGAGTCACCCACGGTGGTCAGGTTTCAGTAGAGCTTCTAGACTAAGACTAGGAAGAAAGGCTGGGCAACCTTCTTCTGAAAATCAGCCAATGAAAACCCTATGGATCATGTTGTTGTTACATGCTGTCAAGTCGGCCCCTACTCATAGTGACCCCTCCTTGGATTTCCGAGGTGGTATCGCTAGGGAAGTAGATTGCATAGCAGGATACTATTTATAGTTTATATCTCAAATTTAGATCCTTATCTCAAGTTTGGATAATTTACTCTGAACTGGATTAAAGACACAAATGAATTTTTATAATACATTAGAAAATCTTCTAGTGTTCTAAGTTTTATACAAAGCATATTGCTCTAACCCTTAAATCCCTGTGGAAAATAAAATGGCAGAAGTGGTTGACCATAGAATGAAATAAAAATGATTCTTGGCTTCACTTAGTTTTGAAAAAAAAAAAACAAACTGTTCATTTCTACCTTTGATACTTGCAGAAACAAATCCATGAATGGAATTTTACAGTGTCTTCCATTAGGGGAATAAGGTAAGAATATATGAGAACATGTAATAGTTGCTTTAATACCAATAATAATACTATTTTATGCACTTAAATATTTCCACTTATTTATAATATTTAATGTGCTCATTGTTAATAGAATCCAAAATGGACAGTTTCCTGTCACGTTGCCCTGCCGGAGGAGTTCACACTGTGCCAGTTAACTCATTGTTCTCCCCTCCCTCAGATGAGGTCAGGGACTTTTACTGGTAGCTGCTGTGTCCTCTGTGTCTGACACCTTGCCTGGCACACGGTCGAGTGGAGCTTTCCTTGGGCTTCTTGGCTCGTTGTAAAAATTATACCAACTCTCATCAAAAGCTTTTCAAGAATAATGTTAGATTCTTAGAAACAGAAACTGCGTGTTCTCTGAGCAAATCATGTTCAGGTTGCTCAGGGACCTTCAGACCTGCAGCCAGGAATTATGTGTGGGGACATTTGGAGATAGGGTCTGGGTCTCTCCAGGGTAGAGTAATGGAACAAAGAGTGGTGTTACTAGCAAGGGAGTGAGGTGGTGTGTGCCGAGGAGAGGTGTGGCTTCTGCTCTTTAGGTCTGGAGTGGTGAGCAGGCCTTTCTGGAGCAGGACTGACATATCTGAGTTGTACTTGGCATCATGCTAACACATCCAAGGGTGACAGCAGCTCTGACGCAGATGTGCATTCATTCTAATTCCTCTTGTACTGTGAGACCTTAGGAAAATCTCTTGACTAGATCTCAGCTTCTCAATCCATCACATAAAAGGCTGGGACTGGCACTCACTGTACTTCCTCTGATTCTGAGACTACCACAGCCATTGAACCAGATCCCAAGTTGCTTTCAGACACAGCATGAGCTTGTCTTGAACAGAGCAGTGCTTAAATCGGAATAATCTTAAATCACGTCTTTCCCTTTAAAGTGACATAAAGATTAGAGTCATGCATTTGAGTAATGTTACCCAGAAAATACAAGGTGGTTAAAAAAGAGTTGAATATTTCTAAAAATGTATTATGCAGTAACTAAGTTGTGTGAGAACATGTGGTCTAGAACCTTCTGTTTGTACCGCTTCATCTCCAATAGCCTTGAGGAAATGAAGAGACATCTCTGGCTGCCATTCCAGCCATCAACAGGGATGTGCAGAGGACCCTGGATGACTTTGACTCCAGGATTGATATGACATAGAGAGCATTTGTCAAGCATTTTCGATGTTCCACAACTGATCGCGATAGTTTGGTTACAGATTGATTTGAAAACTTGCTCATGTCCAGCCTAGTTTTCATTCGTCTGTAATCACCCTGTAGTATTGCTGTTTCAACTCAGTAAGGAATGATCAAAGAAGTTAGGGGTCTCAGAAAGAGAGGAGCAAGATGAGGTGACCTCCTTTGTTTGAAGGGCTAATTGCAGAAGAGTATCTAGCCTTGTTTGCTACAACCGCACCTGGCAGAATGAGGGCTTTTGTGGAGATGTTAGCTCAGTGTGAGCTAGAACTTTCTAATAGTGGAATATATCAGTGGATGGAGCATGGGACAGGCTGAATATTGCCTGTTTGAGCAGCTGTTAAGTCACTTCCAGACCTTGGGTGTAGGGATGAACCAGAAAGAATGTGAAGGTCTTTCTAGAGCCAAGATGAGATGATTATTTCTACTTCCTTTATATGGCCATAAGTGCTGTATCCTGATGTATTTCAAGTCCAGAAATGCCCTTGATGTTATAATAAGTTATTTCAAAAATGCCTTTCTTATCTCTTCCATATAATAAATTATCACTTCCTTAAGGGCAAGGACCATATTTTTTCTGTCACTGACATGCTTTGCTGGGCATTGACTACATAGTTAAGTTCTTGATATGTACTAGTTAGGACTAGTTGATGAATATTACTGAAACATAAGCAAGATAAATGTCCCCTATTAGTTAAATTTCATAGGAAAATAAAAGGCAAATGTTGAGGGAAATGTATTCAAAGATTAATAGAGCTTTCAACAAAGTATATGTGAACTGTTGTATGGAAAGTAAATTTGCTCTTTAAACCTTCACCCAAATCACAATACAAAAAAAAAAAAAAAAAAAAGATTAATAGAGCTTTCAAAAAATGTGTTAAATAGAAGAAAATCTGTTACTAGATTTCCTCAAAAAAGAAAAATTGGTATTGTAACTAACAACAACAATGTTGTAACTTAGGTTTAAGAAGTATTCTTATTTATTGGAATTTTACAGCATATCCAAGTTTGATGAGCGGTGTTGTTTTCTTTACGTCCATGAGAATTATGATGACTTTCAAATCTACTTTTCCACTGAAGACCAGTGTAGTCGGTGAGTTACAGCTAATTCAGGTATTTCCAGTGTAACTATGGGGAATCATTTTTTGCAGGGCCTTTGTTAGGAAAACAATATTCATTAAACTGCCTTTCTTGAAATTTTAACTAGAAACTTTTTTACAGCTTCACTGAGATATAATTCCCATGACCATAAAATTCACTCATCTAAAGTGTATAGTTCTGCGGTTTTTAGTAGATTGAGAGTCATTCGACTATTACCACAACCTAATTTGAAAATATTTTCATCACCCCAAACAGAAACCTCAGACCCATTGGCAGCTGCTCCCCGTTTCTTCCCAACCTCCTCCCCCACCAGCCATATGCAGCTATTAATCCTCAGTCTGTCTCTCCAGATGTACCTGTGCTGGACATTTCATATAGATGGCTTAGCATAGTGTTTAAGATTTATGAACCTTACAACATGTATCAGTACTTCATTCCTTTTTTATGGCTAAATAATATTCCATTTTATTCATCAGTTGAAGGACAAGAATTGAATAATGCTGCCGTGAACAAGTTTTTGTATGTATATATACTTTCATTTCACTTCAAGTAGAATTGCTAAGTTATGTGATAACTCTGTTTAACCTTTTAAGAAACTGCCAGACTGTTTTCCCATTTCACCTTTTCACCAGCAGTGTATGAGAGTTTCAGTCTCTCCACATCCTCACCAACTCTTGTTATCGTCTCTCTCCTTCATTCTAGACATGCTAGTGGGTATAAAGTGGTATCTCATTGTAGTTTTGATTTGCATTTCCTAATGGCTAATGTCGCTGAGTGCCTTTTAATGTGCTTCTTGGCCATTTGTATCTTTGGAGAAATGTGTATTTGAATCCTTTGTCCAGTTTTTAAGAAAAATATCAAACTTTTTATTTTGGAAACTATTCAGGCCTACAGGAAAGCTTCAGATAACAGTACAAAGAATTTCCTTAACTGTTTTCCCTAGAATTTATTTTATTTTTCTCTCTATGTGTATGATTATTTTTCTAAACAGTTGGAGAGTAAATTGTAGATGTGTGATGCCCCGTTACTTCTAAATACTTAAGTGTATTTTTCCTAAAAACAAGTTCATTCACTTATGTAATCATAATAGTTAACTAAATCAGAAAATGAAGATTGATACTGTCCTCAAATCTTCCAAAATTTCACTTACTGCCCCACTGATGTTCTTTATAGCAAAACAAATGCTCACTTTTTTTTCCCCCCGGTCCACAATCCTGTCCAGGATGACATGTTGCATGTAGCTGTCATGGCTATATAGTATCTTTTCATTGGGAAGAATTCATCATCACTCTTTCTCTGTCTTTCTTGACTTAATACTTTTAAAGAGTACAGGCAATTTTTCTTGTGTAGTCCTTCAATTTGGCTTTGAGATTTCTTTGGGATATGATGAATGTTACACATTTGGGGCAGGAAAACTATAGAAGTGAGTTGTGTTCTCTGTGCCTCACTTCAGAAAGTACATGGTGCCTTTCTGTCATTTACTGTTGATGTTAACTTGGGTCACCTAGTGAAAGTGGTGTTTGCCAGATTTCTTCAAGCTTTCCCATTTTTAATTAGATTTTTTGTCTTTTATTGAGTTGTAAGAGTTCTTTATATTCTAGATAGAAATCCTTTATCAGATCAGATATATGATCGTCAAATATTTTCTCCAATTGTTTGGGTTGCCTTTTCGCTCCCTTTGTAGCACAAACGTTTTCAGTTTTGATGAAGTCCAGTTTATCTCCTTTTCCTTCGGTGCTTTTGGCGTCAATTCTAAGGAAGTTTTGCCTAACCGAAGGTTTTCTGTTTTCTTCTAAAGAGTCTTTTAGTGTTTAAATTTAGATCTCTGATTTTTCCACAGTATGAGGTAGGCATCCAACTTCATTCTTTCGCATGTGGTTATCCAGGTGTCCCAGCACTGTCGTTGAAAAGACTATTTTTCTTCCATTTAATTGTCTTGGCACTCTTGTAAAAAATCCATTGACCACAAATATAAGGGTTTATTTCTTGACTCTCAATTCTATTCCATTGATCTGTATGTCTGTCCTTATGCTTGTACCACACTTTCTTCATTACTGTACCTTTGTAATAAGTTTTAAAGTCAGAATGTACTTTTGTACTAAGTTTTAAAATCAATGTGTGCACCTCCCAGCTTTGTTCTTCTTTTTCAATATCATTTTAACTATTCTGAGTGTTCGCATTTCCATATGAATCTGCCTGTTCACTTTTGTGTAAAAAAAAAAAAAAGAAAAAGAAAAAGAAAAGAAAAAAAAAAGCCACCTGGGTTTTTGGTAGAATTTGTACCATATCTGTAGATCCATTTAGGGACTGTATTGCCATCTTAACAGTGCAGAAACATAATTTCCTTTGGTGGTCTTTAATTTCTTTCAACATTGTTTTGTAGTTTTTGGTGTATAAGTCTTGTACCACTTTTGGAAGGTTCATTGGTAGTATATGGAAATACACTTGATGTTTGTTTGTTGATCTTGATTGCTGCAACCTTGCAGAACCTATTGGTGAATTCTTTAAGATTTTCTATATGTAAAATCATGTCACCTGCAAACAGATTACTTTAGTTCTTCCTCTTTTTTTTTTTTTTTTT